GCAGCCCGCGCCCTGGGTCTGGCCTCCAGGGGGTGTGGGCTCCCACTCCTGAACAGCGTCTTTCAAATCGCCACGCCCAGCTCTCGGGACGACAAGCAGGCCCGGCCACTCAGAGCGGCATAAACGAAGGTTAATGTGTGCCCAGCAGGGAGAGTGTTTGCGAAACCTTTCAGCCCAAACACCTTCTCCGTCCTGGCAGGTGGCGGGAAGGGACAAAGGTGGCCTGGCGACAGGGCGAGGGGCAGGTGGGCGTGGGCTCACGGGTGGGAGCAGGCTTCCTTTCTCCCGGGTTTGCTTATTCCGACTTCATTTTTCTTCCCCCCACCCACCGCCTGGACCTAAACACCTACACAGCCGCTTCTTTTTCAAATCCTCACCCGAGGACATTTTTCCTGATTTTAGAGAGACAAGAAGGAAGAGAGAGAGAAAGAAATATCGAGAGAAAGATGGGAGAGGAACATCAATTGGTTGTCCCCTATACACACCCTAACCGGAGGTCAAACCCACAACCTAGGTAGGTGCCCTAACGTAGATTCGACCCACAACCCTTTTGGCATATGGACAACGCTCCAACCAACGGAGCCGTCGGCCAGGGCCACGCAGTCAATTCTTGTTGACGTCTCAGGATTTTCAGTTCTTTCTCTTGATATTCAGTCAAGGGAGCAGACAGCGGGTCTGTCATCCATCACCCACTCATCCATCCAGTGCTGGGACTAAGGCACAGCCCTGCTCTCAAGGACTTTCCTGTCTGCTCCAGGTTTGGTGATGGGAGGATTCTAACATGTAATGGAGAGGATGGTCTAGTGAAGCCCACGTCCCCATCGGCAGCTGCCGTCCGATGTCACCAACTTGAGGACAGGATCACTCCCTGCCCCAACCCCGTCCCCTTGGGAATGTTCTGAAGCAAATCCTAAACATCCCTTCATCTGTAAGAGTTTTAAACATCCTAGCCACAATAATATATGTCACATCCTACAAAACCAGTAAACTCCTTAATATCAGTGTGCAGGTCACTGTTTCCCTAATTGGTTCCCCAATTTATTTATCATTAAAAAATATTTTTTAATTGATTTCAGAGAAGAAGGGGGAGGGAGAGAGATAGATGAGAAACATTGATCAGCTGCCCCCTGCATGCCCCACACTGGGGATCAAGCCTGCAACCAGGCGTGTGCCCTGACGGGGAATCGAACCGTGACCTCCTGGTTCATAGGTGGACACTCAACCACTGAGCCACACCAGCCGGGCCCCAATTTATTTTTACACTTGGTTTAAATGATGATCCAAACCAGGTATATGCATGGCACTTATTAATACAGCAGCCCCCCCCCATGAATAATAGGGGTGCCAGGGGTGCCAGCAGTCACAGGCGCTTCCCCAGGAGGGAGCAGGCAGGGCGAGGCCCAGCAGCCCACGGTGCACGGGGCCAGGCTGCCCCGGGGACAGGCGCCCTCCACGGCCAGGCCACGAGGGGGAGGGAGCCCGAGGCTGCCCTGGGGTTGGCCACTTTGCCGCAGAAGAGGATGCCCTGGGTGTCCTCGGAGAGGATGGCGAACAGGAAGGGCCTGTTGAACTTCACGGAGGCCCGTGGGATTCTCTCGGACTTACGCATCTTTCTGACTCCCGTGGCGGCGGCGGCTTCAGTGCCCGTCTCGGCCACGTCCATCAGGCTCTTGTGCACCATCTGAGAGGACCGGGGCCGCCCCCGAGACGGTGAGCAGGAGGCCGCAGCCCGCCCGCCCGTGCGGCTCTCGGGGGCTGGCATTTTCCCACCGCTGACTGTCATGCTGCCGCCAACCGGCTCAGCTGGTCCGCTCCTCCCGGGACCCTGGTGTGTGGAGCCCTGATGCGCACATGTGCACGCGAGGCTCGGGGCTGGGAGGGGCCAGCCGGGTGCAGGGCAGGGGCGCCCTGAGTGGGTCCCCAGCCTGAGCCCAGAGACGGTGCAGCCCCCACGCCCCCTCTTGTGGGGGGACACGCAGGAGGGCGTTTTCCCACAGGCAGCTGGTGCAGAGTTCGGACCCACAGACAGCGGGCCCTGCGTCAGATCCCTCCTGCCCCAGCCCCATGGCCTTGGGCTTCGGCGATGTCGCAGGGGATGTGGCTTCACACCCCTGGACCCTGCAGCTGCCCCACCCCCACCCCTGCACGTGGCCTTTTATTGCCACAGCCTTTGGGAGGTGAGGTGCAGGTGAGGGTGGAGGGCTTCCCAGCGGCTCCCCGTTCTCTGACTACTCTGTTTCTAGGCACGCAGTGCAGGGTCCCCAGGATCTCCCATCTCTTAGCATGTCGCAGGGGATGTGGCTTCACACCCCTGGACCCTGCAGCTGCCCCACCCCCACCCCTGCACGTGGCCTCTTATTGCCACAGCCTTTGGGAGGTGGGGTGCAGGTGAGGGTGGAGGGCTTCCCAGCAGCTCCCCGTTCTCTGACTACTCTGCTTCTAGGCACGCAGTGCAGGGTCCCCGGGATCTCCCATCTCTTAGCGCCCCTTCATCACAATCGCCCCGAGCAGTGGGGCAGGGGCACTGGGCAAGACCTCTCCACCCATTTACCGGTGAAAAAGCTGAGGGGACAGGCCTCGAGCCATGGGCTCTGCACGCAGTAAGGGGAGGAGCGTGGGGGAGTCCTCTGCCGATTGCACCCCAGGGTCTCCCCTACGCCCGGCTCTGTCCCATGACACTGCAGGGAGGGGCCCACCCGTGCCTCAGCACCCAGCTCCTGGGGGCGGCTGGTCATGAGGAGGGCAGCTCTGTGTGGTGATGAGAGACTCCCTGGCCTCTGCCCAGCCTGGCTGTTCCCAGCTCCACGCGGAGGCTGATGTCCACGCTGTCGACTCACCTGAGAGACCACCAGGTTCCTGTCGCCTGTGATCCCCGA